AAATTCAAAGAAAGCTACGAAATTACTATAGACAAAAATAATATTAACAAGAACCTTAGCATCGACATCCATAAAAACTGGCTTCAATTATTAAAATAAAATAGAATGTTTATACAGTCGCAGGCGAGGCTGTGTACAACACTCGGAGAAGGGTAATGTTACAAATTACGAGGCATGCGGGGGAGTCCGTCAAGTCGGGAAAAAAGAGGGGAGGGAAAGGAAGCGGGAAGTACGGACACACAAGTCACAACTATCGACGTAACAGACTGAAGAGGGGCGAAAGCCCGAAACACGTTTCTGTAAGAAGTAAATGTAGGTGATGGAATTATTTGCCAAGTGTGTGTAAATGCACCAAGTCGTGACATAGAATCAGAAGAAACAAGAAAAAGAAGACACGGTTTCGACAAATAACTAAAACAGTTTTCAGTTTCGTTAACCAGTAGTCATATGAATTTTCATAAATAAAATGAGAAATGCATAGCTCATTTTACCTATCTTAAACCAAACAATTGCCATATTAAATCAGGATATTTTATTGCTATTATCAATAATTAATGATAGTAGCAGTAAAACATTCCAATTTAATACAGCAATTGTTTGGTTTATTATTAAAACATTGTGCTTTGAAATGTTTGTATTTGCCTATTTTATTCTAGAAATCCTTGTAACATAAAAATATCAAAAATATTGAACATATTAATTTCTTATTAAGTAATATTCAGTACATAGAAAAGACAAAAAAAAAAAAAATATTCTATTATTTTGTACTTACCAACAGATTTTTATTTTTGTTTATTGTTAGTTTTAACTTTTTCCTTTATTGTGTTTTTAGAAATGTATTTATTGTAGGGGGAAGTCATTACTTGCCTTAGGGTATTACTCAAGATTGTAAAAATAAATGAACAATTATTTATTGTGACATTGTCACAATGCTAGATTGCAATTTTTAATCATCTTTTAATTTAAAAAATAATGTGACGTTCAGTCCAGACAGGAAGTTCGTATATAGTTAATAGAGGTCTACAGTTCCTAAGCTTTCCATATCTCATCTGGATTTTAGTGGGGTCTTGCCACTGTACAGTACATTGTTCTTCTCCTGATAATAACTGAGTTATGCTAGTCATCTAACTCCGTTCCCGAGAAAATTTTGAATTGAAACCATGGGTCTAGACTGAAAGTTCATATATAGTTCACTGGGGCTCTAGTCCCTAAACTTTCCACATTTGATCTCAATTTTCATCTATCTAACTACATTCTTGAGATTAACAAAGGACAGACAAACAGACAGACAACAGTGAGAATGTATAGGTCTGAAATTTGAAAAATGCAGCTCAATAAAAATAAGCTTTAATTAAATAATACATCATTTTAATCAGACAAACAATATTAAAATAAAAATATCATCTTATTCTTAAAAGATTTTTGAAACAATACTTCAAACCTTACATCTTAACACGTATTTTTTACAAATTGTAAAAATTTATTGAACTTAATTTCTTAACTTTTTCCAAATTAATATCTGATTTCTAAACTTTTATGGTTTAAAATAACTAGGTTAACATTTATAGATACTAAAATATTTTAAATAATAAGTTTAAAGTAAATTGATTAGTTAATTTTGAAAAGATAAAAATAAAAATAATTGTGTTTAAAAATTCATTTATCAATTTCATACATTATGTTCACAATTTATAATTATACATCATAATAATATGTTTCTAGAAAAAATATTTAATGTTATATTCAAAATTTAAATTAAGATATCTAAAGAAGATCAAGTAAAAATATTAGGAAGCTGTTCTAACTATTAATTTGGATGTGATTAAGGAAATAAATTATTAAGCAACTTTTAAAATTCATTACCATACTTACTTAAAAAAAGGTATGAATAACTTTTCAGATCTAAATCCCATATGTAAAAAATTAAATATTCATAACTATTTGATAAATATATTCTCAACTAAAATGATCAAAATTATTCATTTATCATCCCATTTTTATTGAATACAAAATTGTGACAATAAAGCTTTAAAATTTCAAATTAAGTTGAATCAAATAGTATAATTCTCAATCTGTAATTTTAAAAACATTAACCAGAAAATAAATTTTATTAATTTCATGAATACATTAACCAAGGAGACAACTGTCATTAGTCCAGAAAATTAAGAAAAAAAAAATGTTGACACAGAAAAAGAATTTAATGTAGTGGAAATAGGAATTCTAAGTAGATGTGTGATTCTAGTACAACTAAAATCTATATTAACACATATTGTCCACCGGTGGCCAAGTGGATGAAACCACCAAATACCGACAGTCGGTCACGGGTTCAAGCCCACCAACAGGTCGGCCGCACGCAGTTTTTCAGGTTTCCTTCGTGCATCTAACACTTAAATAAGGGCCAGATTCTCACAGAAAGTTCTCCCGAGAGGCATTCCACCTTGGCAGAACGCCCATGTGTTACGTTGCCATATCCCACCGAACCAAACCAATTAACACATATAATGACCTAAATTTTTGCTAACAAAACCATCACAAACTGTATTTCAGAAACATTTAGTTTAGCAAATTACAAGTAATTTGTTAAACTAAATGAATATTCCTAATTACCTAAAACAAAAATTTCAATATATCAACATAAACATTTAAAAAAAAAAGTTAGTTTATAATTAAAATTAGTTAAATTATATTTTAGACTGTTAAATAACTTAAAAATAAAGTAAAAACATTAACATAATGACAAATGATTTTAACACGTGGCTTCGCCAAATGATTAAAGAATGTCAATTTTATTATTAATATAATACAATATTTTAAACTGGTTATGTTAATATTTAGATCATATCATAGATTTTAAATAATTATTGAAAACTAAATGGAAATTGTAGAAGTATAAGCTTATATTAACACAATAACCTTCTTAAAGAAAATATATATTAGATGTGAAACTTTACCATTCCAGCGTTGACCTATATAGCACAGAACGAAGACATCCTTATTCATGAATCTTCAAACCTGTCATGATTTCATCTACGGTAAAATATATTCTGAAGAGCTGATAGAATCGACGTGTTGCATGATACGTTTCCATAGTAATCAACGAATCGATATAAATCGCGTGCGTTGACATGGTAACGAGAAACAATCGCGTGCACCGTATAAAGTATTTCATAAACATCTTTACAATTATTTACTCTATCTATTAAAAAATAATCGTTATAAGAATCTGAATTTATAACGTTGTTATAATACCGATCATATTTATGATTAAATTGATTAATAAGCTTCGAATGACGCCTACACAAAAGCATTTTCTCTTCCTTTTCGATAAGCAGACGATTTTGAATTGGCCCTCTAGTGGAATTAATCGTCTTTCAAAATAAATTATTTTTGTTTTTAAATCTTATTTACAGCATAAACCCATTTCTAAAAATCTATACGTGATATTAGATTTTATTTTGCTGTTAAAAAATAAAGAATTATTTTTTTTTTTGTTTTTGACTCTTTCCGACATTTAAGCACTAAAACGGGTCTTTTTCGTTATGACCATTGTTCGACCGACGCCGCAATGGGTGCTGAGGGATGGGACTTGATATATTTAAGACATGAAAAATTTTTGATGAGTTGCTTGCAGGAAGTCGATCCCGGGTACACTAGAATAATAAGACGATGACTCAACCGTCTCGGCGGTGCCGGCCCGAGGCAAGTTTTAGGATGGAGCGAGATCCTATTATGGCGCCCCCTTGATTGCCCCTAATTTATACCCTTTAATTTTCTTTACCACTGAGGCGCCCCTAGGACTTAGCGCCTGGAGTGGCTGCTCCGTTCGCCCTATGGTAGGGCCGGCTCTGCGTCTCGGTCATCTGCCAATCTTTATAATAAAAAATGTTACTGTTGTGTTCGTAAATATAAATACTGTACTGTATGTAAATTTTGCTTTCAGATGCAATGTATTATACTAATTTCATAAAATATTGAACAGTAGAATGGAATATTTTAAATTTATGATTAAAATTTATTGACTGAGTGCTTTTCGATGCATGCACATAAAAATATCTAATACATACACGATGACAGCTAAATGACCGAGGCGGTGAAGGCTTCACTCTGACGCTCGGGGAATTCAAGTTCGAGTTCGGATCAGAAACCTTTGGACTTGGATTAGATTAATGGGATAAGGCAATCCAACACGTAAGCGATCTTCTAAGGTGGGTGCCTCTCGAGGAGACTTTTTATATGAAACTGACTCCTATTTAGATGTTACATATGTGAAGAAACCCGGAAAATTCCATGCGGCCAACCCGATTGTCAGACTGGAATACGCAACCAATTACTAGTATTCAGTGGCGGCCGGATGGACGAACAGTGAAGAGTCAGCCTATCGCTATGGGGTATCCGAAAATTAATTTGAACGAATTTAAAAAAAAAGCTGAAAACTTTCCGTGGTGGTCTGTTCCCGATATGTCAGACCCCGTCCTTCAATATCCGGCCGCTTCATTGCGGGCGTGGCCGAACCTACTATGGGCTCGAGTAAAAGGCCCTCTTAGTGCTAACAAGAAAGAAAAAAGAAAAACTATGACCCAGTAGTTTTATCCAATTGGTCATTGGTGGACGTACCCTTTGAACTTTTTCCATGATGATCCCGAATATATCAGATCACATCCCTCATTACCTAGCTACTTCTATTGTGAATCTGGAGGAGCCATTATGATATAGTGAGCAAAAAAGTATTTGCACATAAGCGTTATTTTGCATAAGTAAACTTGAGAAACAGCTATGGCAAAAGCCAAATATTTCTCTACAAGCAAAACATTTACTGCTAACTGTGAAAAATGGCGGTCGTCATGTAATAGCAATCTGATCTTTATTGAAGTTAATATGAATGTTGTAGTACATTGATATATTGCTAAGTAACTTATTGCCCAGTACATCGATATTGATAATTGAAGTCATACTCTTTCCAGCAGGACAATGATCCTTATCATATAGCTAACGTAACGTGGTTGTAGTTACTTTATGATGTAAAAAATGTACTTAAAACAGTTTCCAATCTCCTGACTCTACAGAGAATTTGTGGCATTTATTTGAGTTACAAGTGAGAAAAAAAAAATTCCAACAGAACTGAAGCAATCACTCAGAGAAGAAATGTTGAATAAAATCAGTCCAGAAACAACGAAATAATATTGTAATCAATTCCCAGGTGACTACAAGCTGTGATCGATGCAAGAAACATGCTATTACTACACCATTTTTTAAAGGTCTCTTTGTTTTTGTTGGCCTTTGTTAGCGTTCAGATACTTTTTGACGTTAAATTGCTATTTATCGGTATTATTGTTAGACATTACTAAATACAGTCGAACCTCCTATAACACTGTTGATTTTTCCGTTTTATATGAATTCCATGTTGTACGAGTCACTTAGATTTTACAAATACGTGAGCAGTTCACAGCCCGGAATACGTATTTATAAAATCTAAGTGACTCGTACAACATGGAATTCATATAACACGGAATTATCTACAGTGTTATAGGGGGTCTACTGTATTAATTAAGCCTATCATGATAGCTATTAAAATTTTGTCAATGTATTGATATTCTTCACTTATCATTTATTTTGTATTCGTTTATATTAGATGTGAGCAAAAAATAACAGTGTGCAGATATTTTTTTTTCTCTCGCTGTACGTAGAAAAGGGGTCTCTTGTGAGGAAGCAAGAGAAAAAAATTTAATTTATAGTTATATTTAGTTACTTATATTATTTATTTTTAATTTTGTTTCAATTATTTTGAGGACGTATTGAGATAGCTTCAACTGCTATCTCAACACGTCCCAGCTATGGCTTCATTTGCATAACTGCATGATAAAACTTTAATAATAAGTGGAATTACATACCAATAATTTAGGATTTAAGTATGGCTGAGATACTAAATAATATTCTACTTATAATTCTGTAAGCAGACGTTGATAGAAATACAAGTTAAGCAAACTTATTTTTGTCAGCGTGTTTAGTATGTAAATAAATAAAAAAAAATTGTCTAATGTCTATCTCTACCAATAACTGTTACAAAAATGTAAATAAAAACATAATTTAGCTATATTTAAACCCTAAATGTTACTATAAGATTATGCAAATGAAGCTTTAGTGGGAAGTTTGTCGAGGTTTAACATAACTCCCAAAACTCAAAATAACTGAAATAAAATAGAAAACAAATAATATAATTAATTATATATAACTATAAATAAAAATTTCTCTTGTTACCTCACATTCTTTATGCCCACAGGGCGGAAGCAATTTGACTGATAAACTTGCCTGACACGTTGTTGTTTTAGCAAATACAGTAATACCTCGGTTTTCTTTGACTTCAGTTATCGTCGGTTTCGGTTTTCGTCGGTTGCCTCGGATTTTGTCGGCGTGCTCACGTGATTAGACTGCTAATTTTGCGAAAACAAAGGGTGACCTACGCGTTTTCCTGCTCAGTGTGGCGTTTTTTCTCGTTATGTGAGCATTACCCCTATAAAATTATTATTATAAGTAATAGTACTATAAAAAATTGTTTAATTTAAATTAAAATTCTTTACTGTTTTTTTAATAAATGAGTTTGAATGTTATTCTGAAAACTTCAAATCTAATCCAAACGAGAAAGCTTACTCCAATGATTTTTCACGAGTGGTCTATTCCGATATGTCGGGCACAATGGGAGCATTGTAGGTTCTTCCAGACCTACAATGGGGGTCCGGATGTAAGAAAATGACTTCTTAGTGTCCGTAGGACGAAAGGAGTGGAAATGGAAATAAAAAAGCCATTTTTTACACAACATAAATAAACCTTATTTGGTAATGCTATGATATACATAATTTCAAAAAAAATTAATGCAAATTTTTAAGAACATCCAAAAAGCGGAAACTTCTTGGACCTTTGCATTGAAGAATTCTGCGAAGCCCAGTTATGCCGCTGCTCTTAAAATGAACAACTTGTATTGAAATTAATATCGTTCATTTTAATCATCAAATGTAATGTTTTATTCAAATTTCAATCAAGTACAGTATCTTCTCTATGTATATTTTGTTGTTTTCGGTATTCGCGTCATCTTTGTTATTCATTTCGTGCACGTTTACGATAGAAATTTTTTCTTCTTTTTATCCTCATAAAAATTCTTCTAGGTTTCTCTTGACAAAATTTCTCGAATACTTTTATTAATTACTTATTTTTGTAATGCAATAAAAGTATTCGAGTACTTATTTTAATCACTCGACATCAGTGCCCGATGATTAAAACCAACAAGCATTGAAAGTTGGTCCAAGATTCGCGCTTATCAACGGGCTATTTGAATGCAGTTTACTGGGTTTTCTTCGCGTGTCTAACACCTAACTAGAGACAGTTTCTCCATAGAAAGTCCTCCCTGGAGGCATCTCCGCTCTCGTGTTATGTTGCTTTGTCCAGTGTACCATCGTAGTGAAACCCGTCATTACAATTTTTTTTATGATGGAGTTCTGAAAACCTCTATAACACAATCATTTTACTTGTATATAATTACATTTTGTTTCGATTTAAATTCTTGTCTATGCACAAAAGGAAAGAAAAGAATAGAGTCCATTCCGACTACAAGAGTACGAACTCAGTGCTTATTGAAAGATCTTTGTTTTCATTTTGGGCTTCAAAAATTATACTATTTTTAGTACTTTTTGCTGATAAAACTCTAAAAACATTTTAACTTTCTAAAAGTTTATCGGTGATAGATGATTAATGGAATCTTCAAGAGATTTGACCCAGACTATTCATAAAAAATTTTCCCAGAGTATCACACAGACTTTGTTATAGTGTAACATGTGAGAAACAATTCTTTTACATGCAGTTGACTCTCAATGAATCGAACTGTATTAACTCGAATCTCTTACTAAGTCGAATTTTATATTGGTCTTGATATAGTCTAAATCCCACACTCTTAATGCCTTTTGCATGTTTGTATGGTATTGAGTTTGAGAACGCACTTCGATAACTCGAAACGCCGAAAGCCACGTTTAGCTTTCGGCGTTGTCTTCACATTTATAAAACCTAAATAGGGGCCGCCAGTTTTCCATAAAAGTGCTCTTGGGAAACATTCCATAGACAGATCGCCTGCCGTAACCAAATAAATCAAACGAAACCAATCTTATGCCGGAAAGTTCCGTAAACTGAGCATATTTTTTTTTTTACTCTTTCCGCTCTGTGGCCACTAACAGGGTCGTTTTAGTAAGCCTATTACGGATTCGGCCAGACCCACAACGGAATGGCCGACAAATTTAAGAGACGGAACCTGATATATATGGACGGACGACCTCTCGACAAA